AGCAACCTCAAACTCTTGGGCTTAAGCAATTCTCTTGCATCAGCCTCCCACATAGCTGGGACTACAGGCACCCACCACAATGCCTGGCTATTTTTGTTCTTGTTCTTGTAGTTGTCATTGTTGTTTGGCAGGCCCGGGCTGGATTTGAACCCACCAGCTCCAGTGTATATGGCTGGCACCCTAGCTGCTGAGCTATAGGCGCCAAGCCAACTCATTTGAATAATATGAACTTCAGACCACCTGCCCAGCTATCAGGGAATCTGAAAGTGGGTATAAAGAGTTTCCTGATATTATCTGATTTCCAGCCCAGGCCTTTCTGTTCTTCACTATTTTGCTCACGTCCTAGAACCATAGAACCTCTGTAAGTTGACCACCCAAGGGACTGTAACAAATTGGTCAACATACAGAGGTGGTTGACATAAGGAACTAGGCCCACTATACTGATTTGAACACAGGGTGTATGTCTGGTCTATGAAAATTGCATCGGCTTAAGGAGACAGTGAATGCAGGGAGTTTCTGCTATTCTTTCTTTTTGGGAGCAACTGTCAACCTCCATTTTGCATATAGAGAAAGCAAAACAAGAGAGTGGCTTCTATGTATAAAACAATAGGAAAAGAACTCAGGTACACTAACTCCCAAAAGAGGACATGATTTTTTTGATGCAGTAGTATATTCCCTACCAAATTCTTTCCTGAGGATTTATATCTGTGGACATGTCTGGCTATTAATTTTGAGTTCCAGCAAAACTTGTGGTTTTGTAAAGATGTTGAGTCCTTCCATGCTCTAAAGGAAAAGCATAAGAACCAACATTTGAGCTCCTTCAATTCTCATTTATACAAAGAATTGGCCTAAAACCAAATCAGTAAGAAGTTAATTAACATTTGGGTGTCATTTTACACTGTGTCCTAATTCTGTCTGAGGTTAAGAATCCTCTTGGCTGGTTTGGTGCCCGTAGCTCAGCAGTTAGGGCACCAGCCACATGCATGGGGCTGGTGGGTTCGAACCCCACCCCAGCCTGCTAAACAAACAAAGAAATAGCTAGGTGTTGTGGCAGGCACCTGTAGTCCCAGCTGCAAGAGAGGCTGAGGCAAGAGGACCACTTGAGCCCCAGAGTTTGAGGTTACTGTGAGCTGTGACACCACGGCACTCTACCAAGGGCAACATCGTGAGACTCTGTCTCAAACAAATGCTCAAACAAACAAACAAACAAAAAAATCCTCTTGGCTTCACCTTAAGACAGTGGTTCTCAACCTTCCTAATGCCTCCTAATGCTGCAACCCTATAATAGAGTTCCTCATGTTGTGGTGACCCCCCCAACCATAAAATTATTTTCATTGTTACTTCATAACTGTAATTTTTGCTTCTGTTATGAATTGTAATGTAAATATCTGACATGTGGGATGGGTTGTGACCCACAGGTTGAGAACTGCCACAGACCTCTAGAGTCATAATCTGCAGGGAAGGGGCTTGGGAGGCAGTTTAACAAACACTTCTGGTGATTGCTGTTAGCAGTCAAGTTTGGGAGACATTCTCTGGAGAATATATTGCTACTAACTCTATTTTTCAGTGAGGGAGGCTGAGGCTCAGAGTGGTAACTGACCCCAAATCACATAGCTAAAAAATGGCACAGCCATAGCCTATGGCTGCTATGTGGCACCTCTCCATACGCCGCCACAGCTCCCACCTGCTCCTTCAGAGACTCTTTTACAGCTAAGTAGATGCCGGGGGCAGGCACCCCACCCTTCCCCTCCCTGCTGCTGCTGGGCTTTCTTCCCACCCTGTAGGTTTAATAGGCAAGTCTATGACGGCTACCATCTTGCTGTCCTTGCCTCACTGCTGCCCAACCTGGCAACTGTGGAGAGCTCTTCCCTTAGTGTCCCTTATACCCTGATCTTACACAAGGTATTTTTTCCCCTCACTTAGACTGAAAATTAATTTTGGCCTTAGCATATTATTAATGTGTTCATGCAGTATCAACAAAGCAGCCCTTTTGCCTCAACTGACTTATCAGGAGCAGATTCAAAGATGGGGATTAAGACAAAGTTTTGTTGGTGGTTAATTGAACAGCAATCACCTTTGGAGGTCTTATGTAATGTTCTGGTTCTCACTGTTCCTGTGTTCTATTTGCAGTTTATACTCTACGTGCAAGTAATATCCTTACTGACTATGGGAATCAATTCATACATGATGACTTGGTCAGCCAGCACATTAGGTAAAGTATATGAATCATATATGAATTAACTTGGGACAATGATGCAAATAGGTATTGTTGGGAGTTGTGGGATATTTCTTTCAGAGCTCATGGAATTAGTTTAGAAATTATTCATTTTCTTTCTTTCTTTCTTTCTTTTTTTTTTTTTAAGAGGGACAGAGTCTTATTTTGTTGCCCTCGGTAGAGTGCCATTGCATCACACAGCTCACAGCAACCTCCAACTACTGGGCTTAGGCGATTCTCTTGCCTCAATCTCCCAAGTAGTTGGAACTACAGGCACCTGCCACAGTGCCCAGCTATTTTTTTATTGCAGTTTGGCTGGGGCCAGGTTCAAACCTGCCACCCTTGGTATATGGGGCCAGTGCCCTACTCACTGAGCCACAGGCTCAGCCTGAAATTATTCATTTTCATTCACTCATTACATATAGTTGCTGTATTAATTGGGATATTGGTTCAGTCAGTTTAACAAATGAACAGAGGCTTAAACAAAACAGAGG